ATCGTGAAAAAATCCAAAAAAATTACAGAATTAAACAAAATTTCGTTGAAATCTTTTAATTTATGGCCAAAAATGACACCTAAAAGTTCACTAAATGGCCTAATTTTACAAACATTATCATCAAAATCTTTTAGTATTTGACCGAAAATGACACAAAAAATTCACATTTTGAGAGCAAATTTTTAAAAACATTTACAAAATGTTAGCTTAATGCCCTAATTTTATAAAAAACATTCAAGATAAAATATAATATTTAAAAATAGTTTTACAATAATTTTCATCAAAATGTTTAAGTTTTTGACCGGAAATGACGGGAAAAAAATCACATTTTGACAGAAAACTTAATAAAAAGATTTTAAGAAAATGTTTCCCAAATGCCCTAATTTTATGAGAAACATGCAGGAAAAGATGTAATTTAAAAAAATAATTTTACAAAAATGTTCGTCAAAATCTTTTAGTTTTTGACCGGAAATGACATAAAAGTTCACATTTTGACAGAAGATTTTATAGAACAAAATTTCTAAAAATGTTCTCTAAATGCCCTAATTTTATTAAAAACATGCAAGAAAAGGTAGAATTTTGAAAAATAATTTTACAAAAATGTTCTAATACTACTTTAATACTAAGACTAGGGTAGGACTCTGACCTGACCCAGTCTTGGAACTGACATTTTGAATAATAATACTAATAATAATAATAATAATAATAATAATAATAATAATAATAATCAGCTATTTTTCTAAAAGTAAAATACATAACTCAACCGACATCATTTGGGACGCAGCACTGCACAGGCACCGTCGGATGACAGAAACAATACCCACGTTTCCTGTGGGTTTTTCCAAAGATTTCCTCTTCCTGTTTTGCCCCACTACAGTATCTCTTCATACTTTCTATTCTCTTTTTCATGCTGAGGGATTTTTCTGCAGTGTGTTTTACGGCTACAGTAGTATTTCATGTAGATTCTTTATCATATATACATATATACCTATATACATAAAAAAAATGTTTTGCCTGTTTGACACACATACGTACACACGCACACACATTTTTTTTTTTTTTTAGTGGGACAGTTCAGTGGAGCAGTGGGGCCATTGCTCAGCTGCTTGAGACAGAATTAGAGTGACAAACAGCTGAGCTTCTCCGGGGTGCTATCATGTGACCTATCCCACCCACAGGGCAAAAGGGAACCAGGCTTAGAGTTACCACGTCCAATGTCCAACATGGTCACGTGTGTGCAAGCGTGTGTGTGTGTGTGTGTGTGTGTGTGTGTGTCGATGGGTTAAAATATATTTCTTCTGTTTGTCACAGTCAGGAAATTCGAGTTTTGCCTTCATGCTAATATTTGCCCTTCTGTTGACAGTCATTAGCGCACGCTCTGCCCTTTGTCCTTCACTTTGTCCCAGTGACCTGCATCTACAGGCAGAGGTGTTTCTGACATAACCAGAAGTCACATCCGAGGACGTCCACTCAGCGCAGAGAACGTATCAAACAACCTACGTTTCCTAGAGTGAAAAGAACGGCCCCTGCAGCACATTTGGGCTTGTTTAGATGGATTGTTTCCTTGCCTGAAAAAAAAAAAAAAAAAAAAACAACGTGGCCTTTTTCTTTTTTTCAGTGTCAGTCAGCAGGCACAAAAGAGAGAAATAGCTGAGACCTGCACTAGCCGCTACTCCTCTGCATCGACTGATGAAGTTCTCTCACCAAACCGTTATACTTTACTTGTGCCTAACTATCACTCAGGTGGTAACGCAGTTTTTTAGGGACTAATTATATTATTATTAGCCTTTCATCACGAATTAAAGAGAGAAACGTTAGGACGGTGAGAGCCGCCACTTTCTGAGACGTGGCTTGTAAATATGTGTGTGATTGTGTGTGAATGTCTGTTGTTGCAAACAGAGACGAAGCGGAGCATGTCCTGCAGGGCCATGAGTGTTTACAGCAGGGTAACATGAGGAGTAGATCAGCTCGGCCCCGCCTACACCATAACTCTAAATGCAGAAACACAGCTGTGTCTCTGTGTATGAGGGATCGGAGCCAGGGAGGGGCGTGGGGGGGGTGGAGGAGTCGGGGGGGTGAGCTTAAATAAGGCAATGGAATTAGCCATTAGCTCAGCACATTTACACAAAATTCCCGAAAAAATTGAATGTTTATTCCAATACACGCCTCAAAGTCTGTGCTACACATTTTTAGGGCTTCTATTCAAACTGCCCTAACGTTACAGGCCGACGCAGGGTGGTCATGGGTGCAGGCTGGTGAGCGTGCATGTGTGCAGGGGGGGATGGGGTAACACAGGAATTGGTTGTTTCAGGCCCCACCCTCCCTGAAAACACACTGAGATCAATGTGTCAGATCAATAGAGTCATTGACAGTAACTGAACTTCTCGTCCGATCAGTGGGGCCGAAAATTCACTGTTTTTCACTGTCAAGGGGGGAATTAGGTGTGATCCTTCACAGGACACACACACACACACACACGTGTGTAAGGTCATACACAAATGCAGGCAGGAACACACATGCAGAAATTCAAGCTCACACACACACACACACACAGCAGTAGAATACAGGCTGCTTTATGACACTGCATGATAGGTCACTTTTTCCCTCTCTCTCTCTCTCTCTCTCTCTCTCTCTCTC